CCTCATCGCCTTTCCGTTCGCTCTCTCTCTCTCTCCGTCTGTTTTCTGGATTGGCCACTGCTTGGTCAACGATCGCTCGAATGGGCGGGCTTGCTCGAGGTCATATTTCAGTGTGGACAGAGGGGTGGCTATTCACATTCGCCAGTGCCTCTGGCCTACCTCATTCTCTCGCACCTATGGGGCAGCTGCACTGTGCATACTTCGTCGAAACCACTGGAAGGGCCGGGGTTGCGTGGGAGTGCTAGTGCAGAAGGAGAGGGGTTGCCGGCGTGCTTGCACATTTCGGAGATTTGTGGCCTCGGCTTTAGCCCTGAATTACTCGCTTGTTGCTGCAGGACGGGTTTCCCTTTGTGCGTTGAGATATCACTTTCGGGAGCCGCAACAGGAAGCGTCAACCATAAGTGGCACACCTATGCGGGAGCGAGGGAATGGGGCACTCCTGCCGGTAAGTTCATAACTCGGGGATCTGAGAAGCTAGAAAGCTAAAATCTTAGGGGAATGTTCCCCGTCCAAGTGGGTATCAGTGGTCTCAAAAATGCAGAGTGCATTTTCGGAGGCATTGTACTGCCGGGCGATGAAAGTTTTGTATAATTTGCTGAGGTAGCTGCATTCGTCTTCGTTGGTACCAATCTCCTCTGCAGAACGTCCTCGTCGTTTTTGCTAGAGTAAAACAGACAAAGTCATTTTTGGGTTGGCTTGTTTAAGATGGACCGACAACAGGATCATTTCAGTATCGCATGTCCAGTTGGCTGGCACGCAGGTCAGTGACAGTGGGAGCTGGCCGATTCCGCACCTGGCGGGTACCTCCGACCCCGTTATATTTTTTGCTCTTGTTGTGTCAGAGGGCTTCGCTGTGCTTGTTCGGAGAGCTGTTGCGATTGCATCGATGGCTATTTCGCGGAATCGCTCTGGCCTTTCTAGGAGTGACGGTCAAAGAATTCCTCCACTGCCCCGGCTCCACACTTCTTTTCGGCAGTGTTTAACTTTTTCGTTTCGCATAAATGCATAGTGTTGCAGGTCCCAATTATGCTCCGAGCGTTCTCTATGTAGAAGCTGCACGAATTGGCGCCGAACAAGAAGTACTAATGAAGCCTATTTATTAATTATTTTACGCAATTCTAAAGCTTCGTTGAGATGAGTGGCTCCACACCGCGGCGTCCGGAAAGGTCGTTGCTTTGAAAAAGCACATAATTTTTTTTTTACGGATACACTACTCGAGTTCCATGGATAGATTTCTGCAGGCTCATTAGGGAAAATCTAGCTAGGGTCGTGTGCCACTGCTGTGGCCACTTCTTGAATTTAAAGCGGCTTATTCGTTGATCCATGTTGAGAACATCGTTGCAATGAAATCCGGGTAACTCGGCAGGGAATTTGAGTGCCACAACTTGCTCCACAAGCTCTTCCCAAAAAATTGAATATTTTCACTGGGCGCAAAAAATTTACTTCTTGCTCACTGACTTGTGAGGTTTGGATTCTGAGCCTTAGAAGTTAGCAGGTGGATAATAGACTGCTACAAAAGCAGTCTGCTTTTCCAACGGCCAAAAAGAGTATCATTCGAATCTATGTATTTTTAATTAAATAATTAATTATTATTAATCAATTATTAATTAGTTAACTATTATTGATTATTTATTTATTTTTAATCTGTGTATCGCCGAGTCTTTAATGCAGCAATCAAGTATAACGTCGTCATTAAGGCTCGAGCTCGGACTTTATTCTCCCTTCATATTAAACCGTTTTGAAATTGACCGATTTTGATGGCGAAATTTTTCAGGCATTGTTCGGCATCTGCGTTGCCCCGAATGGAACACAGGGCCAGTGCAACGGATCAAGCAGATGGATTAGCGCGAAGTTCGTCCCGACGCACCTTTCATTATGATTCTCTATGTTTTTTGCAAAATCGTGTTGTAGGAGGATCATGTCCGCGCATTCAGGTTGCCTTTAAGCGAGTTTAAACATACGATCTGTGGAAGGCCTGGCTCTCTTCTCGCCCACCAGCCTGATCCGGTCCTGCTAGCGCTACTCGGTCAGTGTGGAGGAGTTGTTGCAGTTTTTTGACTTATCAGAACGCTGAATGGGTAATTCAGTAACGTTTATTTGACTGTTGGAGTATGGGCAGTTAGATGTTCAATTGTTTGTGTTATATCCCGTCTGCCACAGCAAATAATACCTAGTCCATTCCCATCGTAGTACTATCGGGTCAGCAGCCAAACAAACTTGAACCAAATTCAAGAGATCTCCTTAGGCCACTGTGAATTTGTGATTTGCAAAATCATCCCAAAAAATGGATTTTTTTTGGTTCCAAGATTTCGTAAATGTTGATGGGTTTCATGCGTCAGACTATTTTTTGCACATTATTATCGGATCGATTTTTGGTTTTCAGCATTTACTTTATCCAGTAACTCGTCATTCTTCATCTTCTCTTGTTACCAGTTTGGAGGGGGGGAGGGGGAATTGATGTTTTGAAAAAAAAATATTCGCCGCACGTACTAGCAAAATGAGCTTGTATTGCCCAAAAAAAATTCATTTTGAGTAATTCTGTCTCAAGTAGAAGCTCACATGTGTGTTAGTGGGTCATCGTTCCCGATATCTTAGCTTCTTCGCAAGCAAACAGAATTTCTTGTAGTAGTAGCATTTCTTCGTCCGTAGAATGCATTGTTTTTTTTCCCCCCTCACCCCCTTCCCCCTCGTATCGTCATGCATTTTTTGTTATTGAAGGGCGACGAACGACATCGCTTGGC